AGAAGGAAGCAAAGGAGGCTGACCAGAAGGAGAAGAAGACACCAAAAGAAGACGATGCAAAGGAGGCTGCGAAGAAAAAGGTGCCCAAGGAAGGAAAGAAGGATGAGGAGAAGCCAGAAAAGAATAACAAAGGAGCAAGGAAGACTGTGGCACCAGAAAGCGATGGGCCAAAGCAGATGCGGGCCAAGGGTGAGGTCAAAGAAAAACGAAAGCCAGCAGGCAAAAGTGGGTCGTCGCCTGAAAAGAAAAGATTCAGAGCGCTGAATGAAGAAGAGGCTTCTGGAAGTGAAGCTGGGGCAGAGGCGCGCGCAAGACCTAATTTCATATGTTTCAATCATATGATTGACCCTATACGTAGCTTGTTTGTGTTCGTTGTGACCAGGTTAAGAAGACCATGGTTCCCTATGAGTCTATCAAGACTATGCCAAGCATTGACCTCATCAAGGCTTTGGCAGATGTGTACCACACCTGCTACTAGCACACCTGGTACAAAGGCTTCAAAGGACTGCGATCGATATTATTTTTACAGCCTGTTAATGTGTGTTATCTATAGATGTGGCTGTGTGCATGGTGTGAATTTATATTAGCATATTTGCAGGATAGTGGGACCAAGAGAATGGTCAAGCTGTCAGCTGAAGAAAAAGAACGAATTGCAGCTATGAGTTCACCAGCTGACATGGACTATGAAGAACGCAAGCGCCAATATGCGGCGCTGCGAAGAGCAGTGTATCGATCAGCATCTCCAGGTCTCATGGCAAAATACACGTTATCCAGTGATGCTGACAGGCCCCTCGTATTCATATGCATTGGTTCGTACATAGTTCAATGCGCGCATTGGGTTTGCTGTTCAAAATGCATGTTGTTCTCCCACCTAATATGTGCGTGCAAAGGTTCTCTATGATGAAGAACTTTCTCGTCAACAGCGGAGTTGACTCAATAGAGGTTGAAGAGCAGTACACGAAGTATGCAGAGGAATCTAGGAAGGACCGGTATATCACAATCACTCTTTTCCAGCTGGAGAAGAAATTTGGCAAGGGGAAGGAAGCACAGAAATTTATTGCTGATCTTGTCAAAGGTGCGGGGGGGTCAAAAACGAGAAACCAAAGCTATCAAACATGTTCTGGTCTTGCCAGGCCAGAAGGGGACGCCTCACCCTCAAAGTGATCATCCCAAGGCCCGCATGTTCAAAGTCCTCAAGGATGTGCTCGAGGAAAAGGCGATGGGCAGTCGAGGTACCACCAGCTTGAAGGTTGGTGGCCGTGTGAGGTGTGCAGAAGCCAAAAAACTCCTAGCTAAGGAGTTGAACAAGAGTTGGAAGAGAAGACAACCCTTGTAGACCTCACTACAGGGGAGATCAGAACAAAGAAGAAGAAAGTTCCCAAGGAAAAGACCCCTGCTGAAAATATCCTGAAGGATGCAAAGACACACTACAACAAGATACTAGACGTGATTAGTATTTATCTCTTGCGCGACCTCCTCCATTTCCAGTTTCCATTCCCTTATACCATGGTAGATCATGGTAGCGCTAACTAAACCTCAAACACTGAGGCTGAAGAAACTTAATGATGATCTTCCCAAGTGTGTCAATGACCTGCACACGCATGCGGTTCAGAACTCGAGCGAGCTGGTGCCTAGATTGATTTGGGATTCTTGATTCTTTTTTTTTCATGTCTTCTTACCCAGATCCTCCCATCTCTGCGCCTGGTTTTTTCGTGTGACTTTCAGCTCGTCAGGTGGCAGCCTTGGAAAGGCACATCGCGCAGTTGGAGCATCACTTGGTGTGTGCTGAGACCATGTCCAACACACCATTGTCTGATGTAGACGTTGAGCATATGCGTACAGAAATGGACACTGAGAAGTTTTGGGTGACTAACCTGAACTAGCATTTTGTTTTGGGGTGTCCTGCTGACATGGTACCTTTGTAGTATATCGTTACTCCGGTAAGCGTGGTCGAGCATGATCTACGCGATGGAAAACGTCGAGTGACATTGAAGAAGGGACCCAGGTCAAAAAAGAAGGTGGCTGAATGTGGTGAGAGTGCATCTGATAATGACGATGCTTCGGAGGAAGAGTAGGTAGGGCACCTCCTTCTTTGGAACTTTGGAATTGTTTGGGAAGTACTCAACCATTGGAAACCTGTAGACTCTACATGAAGGAAGTGGGTGTGCCCATATCCTCGCACCTCTGGTTTGGGGATCACTGCATGCAAGCCTTAGCTTTTAGGAGCTGGCCCTGCCAAACAAACGGCTCTGCTGGGCAACAGTCCTAAGATTGGCTTGATGTAGCAAACCATACGTTTTGTTGCATCCCAGGCTCACAGAAATTGCGTTATATATTTTGCTTTTCAATGAAAGCCTTAAAGAAAAGAAAACACGAAACTGTTTCAATCCTGGGTTGCAGTTGATGACAAATAGGGACAAACACGATGAAACCATCGTGCTGATTGGGGCATTCAAAATCTTGAGACCCTGGATTCAACATGCACTGTAGATTCCAGCTTGCACTCCGGCACTCCATGTATATACTTGCTGCCCAGGCCTCTTCACTCGATAGCTTGATACTTGTTTTGTCCTGCTGGGATGTGGCATTTTGGAACGAATCAAACGGGCGGGGATATCCGATCATGAAACAAAGATGGTGGGCCAAGTCTTTGTGTCATGAACAAAGTTGCTCTCGACATCGTGGAGGAGTTCCTAGAACTGGGACGGGAAGTGCTTTGGCCATTTCAATGTCAACTGAAAAAGAACATATCGATCGCAATTGCTGTGCTTTTGGGGCGTTGGGGATCCAAGGTAAGTGTGACCAAACTTATGGCAATGTTTGCGATTATCAAACGCCGCTTTCCGGCTAGATTGTTGCCGACGCTTGTTTGCATGGTGCTTGCCTTGCGTGGCTGTGAGCGTTGCGTTGCCGTGTGTGCATGTGTTTGAAAAATACACCAAGGGCTTCTCTTCGGGACCTCCTTCCATTGGACAAGGGTCATGTGCAGAACGGTCCTCGGATGTTTTGGCAGTGGCTCAATCGACAAGTATGGCGGAGGATGTTGCCTAGACATGTTCCGCATCTTGACTGATATGTTTTTTCATGGGCTTGGTTGAACTTGCAATTCTGGTGTGTGATGTCGCCAAAGGATTAGTGTGGTCACAATTGATCCTGGCTAGCAAGAACAGTATGAGATTGGAACAATTCCCATGTTCCTGCCTTCTGAAGTGCTTCTTGGTTTTCTCATTTTTGCATGCAACACTTGTACCATATATATTACTGAACCATATATATTACTGAACCTCTCCTCGCTACTGCTGGCAGGTTCGCATCCATATATGCCTACTCCTTCCAACTCTTCTCTCAACGCTTTTTGGGAGCTGACCCAGATGCAACCTCGATGCGTGATATGTTCGTGTGCATTGTGAATGGTGTGCATGCCATGCTCTTTTGTTTGGGGGTTCTGTTGCAAGGCTCTGTCTGCTTTTTGGGAGCAGAACAAAAATAGTGCTTGGTTCCAGCAGCACCCGATCTTGTCACAGCAAGCTGCTTGACATGGATTGGCATTATACCAATTCGCAACATTCATACCAAAAATAGGTTGCACACTTGAAGATCGTTCTGAGGGCACAGATCTATCACGATGCGTTCCGCTATCCATCCATGCTGATGATTCTAAGAGCCATCGGCGTCGATCTTTCTGTGTGTGCACACTGTCGTCTGTGTTGGTTGGGGAGTGCTCTCCTTTTGATGCCAGACTACTTCTCTATATGACTATATGACAGACAATCAGCGATGTGTGGATGAGACATGGGATACTCTTGATGCATGGGTTTGCTGGGGTCTCCATGAGCTCCAATGTGGAGTCTGGGCAGCTACTGACCCGTGGGGGAACCACATGCCTTCTCGAGAAGGTAAAGCTGGACAACCCATAGCAGAGGGTTGGTTTGGGTGCTTGGCATGCCACAAGGGAGATGACAAGTACCTACAGCGAACATATCATATGTGTTCTAGCTGGGCATCGAAAATGCCTTGCTGGCTGTGCCGTGCTACTACATCAGGGTCTCATGCTTACACTCTTCATGGAAAAGGAGCACCCCACCGGAGCACAGCTGTTTCTCCAACTTTTTTTATCCGTTTTATGGATGGTGTGGAGTTGCGATTGTTTTTACCTCATGGCTGGTATGTCTATACCATGCATGCACGCATGCATTGCTATAATTGGTGAGGTTAGTACTTCCGACTTCATTCGGCATGGCTGCCGTGCAAATCCGTGGGTGCAACTAGCGGGCTGGAACTTGCAGATAGTCCATGGGGACTGGCTGCGCGTAACAGACCTCACGCTCATCCCAGAGGCTAGTGCCAGTGTTTTTGGGCTGCGCTAGTTTACTGCGTGAACCATGTGAATTCATTGGTGAGTTATGTGGGTTGATGGCTTTTAAGGCCCTGTATGAACTTTGCGAGACTGATGATTATGGCAAGGTGCTCTCAAGGGTCTTTGCAAGTTAAAAGAGAACACCCCTCATTACCTGCAATCTTTGGTGCAGGTGCGAACATGGATGAGCGGCTTCGCGCAGCACATGTTCAGTTTGTAAAACACTGCAAGCTGCACAAAATCAGTCACTTGGGATACACAGTTGTTTGTTTTGTAGCGTTGTATTGCAAGTATACCGTACGCGCATCGTTCAAGCTCAGGAAACAAAGGGCGAGTCTTTTCTCTGCACCGTGCTTGCAAGACGTGGTCGGTGCATTCATGTGTAGACCTTCAATGTCAGTGTCTTGTGCTCAGGAAACATATGCACTGTGCTGGATCGAAGAACTATCCCAGTCTTGCTCAAAAACATTGCAATGCTGCAGTGGCTAGCCTAAGGATTGTGTATACCATGTTCTTTTTTGAACCCTGTAGCAACCCTTCGTCCTTGCACCCAAGGAGGCTGTTGTGCTGGCAAAGTGGCTTATCGGAGTCACACTTGCAGTTGCATGTCAAGAACCCAACAACGAGCATGCCAAGTTTCTTTGCTTTGCAATTGTTTTTTCCTTGAGCACTTCACTGGTCACTAGGGTTTGATGAAATACCCATGGATGTCTGATGGGTGATTTGAGGCTACGTGCGGCCGTCTTCGTGAACTTTGTGGCCATGAGGCGAGCCATGACCAAGCAAGGCCTACTTCTTCCACATGAAAATAAGATCTGTGAACTTCAGGACGTATTGCTGTTAGCTTGCAATTTTCAATGTCTGATCGACTTGACATCTAGTGTGTTCCTGTTTTTGTCCAGCATGGCAGGAAGCATGCTATTTGTTTCATTCAGCGTTGAACGCCTTGGCAATGGAAGCATTATCGAAAGGTGTTCTTCTTTGGAAGGTGCGACCCAAGGTCCACCGTCTTGATCATATTTGCCTGGATCAGGCATACAGGATGAATCCATTATGGATTTCTTGCTATTGCGATGAAGATTTCGTTGGCAAAATAAAAGCCATGGCAGTTCACGCTTCACCCCGTCTTTTGGAACGCCAAGTCCTTGATAGATATTCGGCGTTTGTTTGCCTTCGTTGGCAACGGCGTTTGCAGGGTGTGAAGTCTTCCAAAGGCAGATGATACTGCACGACCGACTGTTTTTCCAAAGTCACTGTAAACAAAAGCTCGATCTGTCCTTGGAAGCTGCTGGATGGCTTCTCTTGGAGAAGACGTTGACCACGATGTAGCCGGAGAGTGGATGGAGGGGAAAGGAAGTGGGGGAATGGCAGGAGTTGGAATTTGGGTCATCTATAGTCTTTTGAAGGGAAGTTGTTCAATCTTTGGGGTACCCAACATTGTTCTGTCACCACCTTTGTTTGAGATTGTTTGCTAACATGTTGGTTCTTAAGTGTCCTCTACACTTCTTAAGTGACCCCGTGTCGACGCTGACAAGTGACCTCAAAAGTTGTTTCTGCTATGTGACCCTTTCAAAGCGGACACTTGACAAAAAACAAAGCGGACACAAAGAACTGTCTGGTGGTTTGTTTTTTTCAAGTGGCCGCCTTTCCGGAAAGGTGTGCATGGCTTCGTTTTCGGGTCCGAAGATCACAGATAGGTTGACCACAAGGACATTCTCAAATGCCTGAGGCAATCCCAAAAGAAAACATCTGAATTACCATCGCATAGGCACGTCAAAGGCCTCCACGTCCTCTTGGGACACTGCCACCGTTACGTATCGGAATGACCGTTACGCATCATCCAGCACTCCAAGGGTTCTTGGTTCGGTGAGCTCAGTTTGATCACGGACGCCGGAAGCCGACTGGTCGAAGCCTTCTTCTTGAAGCGGTCGAAGCCGACGTCCCGTCCCGTCCTGCGGTGTCGGGGCGGGCGTGGCAGA